ACATGCAGTAAAATTAACCAGAGCCAAAGTCTAGACATTTCACTGAACAAAGAGGTTTTAGTGAAACATAAAAATAAATGAATAATAAAAAGAACCAAAACATAATAACATGAGGCCTTACAGAAGGAAGTTAAGTTCGAGACAAATGGCCACCGGGCATAAAATATTGGTCCACCTCACCCTAAAAACATTAGTTAGTTCCAAAGAAGTTTCTAGAACCCACATCTTCTCTTAACTACAACTTCCAGTTACTCTGACAGGGGCTCTTGGAGCAGCAAGTAGACAGTAGATGGCTTCCTCTGTAGAAGTCCCCAAGGAAGGCGGATTTCACAGCGCTTTTTAGAATGTATGGCAAGCACCTTTGCTTCCTTCCAAGTCTGAGTGCTCAGGGAAGCAGAGCAACAATTTTGGCAGCTGCAGGTTGTGAGGTGTCTCTAGCTTTCTCCTGCCCACATTTCCCAAGTCAGGGTTTCTCTGTGTAGCCCTGGCTATCCTAGAAATCTCTCTAGACCAGGTTAGCATTGAACTCAGAGATCCACTTGCTTCTGCCTCCTGAGTGCTGGGATTAAAGGTGTGCATCACCATGGGGACTTGTTTTTTGGCAGTCAGGGGACCAGAGGTAGCCAGAATTAAAAAGACCTTGGTGGCAAGACCCAACTCAGTGTTTGCTAGTGGATTCCAGGCTGCACACTCACCTCGAAATCTGTTCTTCACCTGTATACAGATGATGCATACCCACCCATCAAGTAATTGAGTCTGACTGGGAATCCTGGGGAGGGAAAAAACCCGATGTATTTATATATGCAAATATGCAAATAATGAAAATATTTAAAATCCATGTATTTTTTACACATATATAAACTCTGCAAATGTGAAGGTACAAATTCATATAAATTGTCTTTTTTTGGTAGCTTTCTACTAGATTTAAAAATATTGTTTTTATTTTATGTATAAGTGCTCCCATATATATGTGCACCATTTGTATGCTAATGCACATGGAGGCCAGAAGAGGGCCATGAATCCTATGGAACTAGAGTTAGAGATTGTTGTTGAACCATCATGTGGGTGCTGAGAACTGAGCCAGGACCCTTTGTAAGAGTAGCAAGTGCTCTTAACCTCTGAGCCATTCCTCCAGTTCCAAATTCCCTTTTCCTCCCCCTTCTTTCCTCCCTCCCTCCCTCCCTCCCTCACTCCCTCCCTCCCTCCCTCCCTCCCTCCCTCCCCCTTCTTTCACTTTCAGATATACCAAGGAAAGTTGGTATTTTCTTTAAGAGTACAATTAAGCAAGCCATTCAGATGAAAATATCTGGGAAATGGGTGGATGGATGTTGGGGGTGGAGGCATAGGAATGCAGGAGGTTACCTGCCTGGGCTGTCTAGAGAATTTTAAAGAAAGTTTTGCTGTCAGCAAATACCTGGGAGTCTTGCCTTATGATATTGTCAAAACATGACATCATTTTGTGTTCTTAAGAACACATATTTTCTGTAATATATCATCTCCAATTCAAGACAGCTGTGAAATCTTGTTTGGAATTAATTTTTTTTGAATATTTATGAAGAGACGACTCACTGGTTAAGAGCCCATACTGTTCTCGTAGAGGACCTGAGTTTATTTCCTAGCACCCATGATGAGTGGCTCATAGTCCCACTAACTCCAGCTCTAGGGAACTTGATGCCCCTTTCTGGTCTCTGAGGCCACATGTGCATACACCTACAAACCCCGTCCCTCATACCCTTATACATAATTAAAAATAAAATAATTCTTTAAAAATATTTTGAAATCAGATTTATGGTTATCTCCCCATCCCCAGGCGTGAACATCATACTGATATTGGCTTTAGGCAAAACCAAGGAAAACATTAATGGGATGACTTGCAAATACTAGACTTCTAGAGGGTTAGTGAGAACGCTTACATGAACTGCCTTTCATTCAGATACTGAATATATGCCAGGCACTATAGTACAATAAGAGATATTTGGCTAGAGCATAAGTGATTTAATAATGGACACTCAGGTATTTTTCTCATTCTCCCTAAGGATGTAGGATGGACTTGAGAGTTAACTGGGTAAAGTGTAGCCCATGTACCCACATAGTATGTCTAGCCTAACTTTCCAGTACTACAGCTGTTGCTTGTTGTACTATGGGCTCTCTGGCCATCTGCTTCCCTGTCTTGTGGCTACTGTCCTCTTTCCAGAGACTTGGTCATGTTCTCCTGAGACCCCAACATGCCATTGACCCATCTGTGCTTCTCAACAATCAGTAGAAGCCCTCTTGTGTGCTTAGACACACTGCCATTTTATTCCTGTTTCCTTGTGTGGGTTTTATATACTTCCCTGTGTGTGAGAGAGCCTCATCCTCAAGCTTGTCAGCACTTAGGGCCAATGTGGGCAGCTCAGGCAGATCACAGCTTTATTTTGGACAATGTGTGCTGAAGGTGCTCAGAGGAGAACCCTGAAAACCTGTTTCAGGTGTTTGTGAACATCCATATGGAGCTGGATAAAAGAATTTGGGAAGAAACTTCTAATTGTTTGTCATATCCTTTGCCCCCAGGGTATTTCTCAAGAGTGTCATGAAAATACTGTTTGCAAGTGGCTTGCTGTAACTGACTATTACAAAGCAAGATGTCATCTCTACTCATCACTGTCTGAAGAGATAACTGAGAAAGTATGACCTAAGTAAGACACTGAGGGGCTGCCTTAGTCTATTAAAGCTGGAGCAACAAAAATACAAATTAGATGGTTCAAATCATTAGAAATGTATTCTTCACTATTCTGAAGTCTACTAGGTCCAAGGTAACAACAACTTTGATAACTGGTGAGGACAGGTGTCCAGTCTGTAGCTGGTGTCTTTTATCTGCATCTTAACTTGGTAGAAGGACATGCCACTGTCTCCTTGGCAAGGACATTGGTCTCATTCAAGATGGCTTTGTCCTCGTGATCTCTCTGCTTCTGCAAGGCATTGTGTCTCCTAATGCTATCACTGGAGTGGGGTTTGGCATTTCGACATGAGTGAAGGATATATTCAGATGTGGAGCAGAAGTTACAGGATGTGCACTTCTAAAGAAAGCAACCAGTCAAGGCAGGGACTACCCAACAGTCTCCAAGTTAGTAGTCTATCTTGTCTCTCACTTGTTGGTCAGGAGGCTCTGCCGATGAGAGAGCCACCTTGGGAAAGCCACTAGATGGTGATCCCACCCTGGGATTTTGCGGGTAACACCCACAGATGTCTGCTTATCTGCCCAGAGCCCCAGAACTTCTTAGGCTTGCCACGTATGTGGTTATTATGAGTCTAGCATGATCAGAATCTTGAGTGAGCTCCTCCATGTGTTCTCTATTGACTGGTCAAAGATCCAGAAAACAGAACTCAAGACTGTACCACATTTCCACATTTGAAAAGAGTTGCTCTCTCTCTCTCTCTCTCTCTCTCTCTCTCTCTGCTTCTTAGTTTCTAAGCTGAGTTGAAACAAGAGGGAGGTTGAAAGAAAAGATTATGGCTTTCAGTGAATGTGGGGGATTGTGACTTCTCAGAGGCCCCAGGTGACTTAATTTTCCCATTCATAAGTAGGCTTAACACCTATTGTAGCACAAGATACTCTGTAACAAGCAATGTGCCTTTGGTAGTTATTTTTTAGATGCCCTTTCTTAATTTCTCTGGTCAGTGTCACAGTTCAGGTTCTTACTAGATTCCACTGATCCGTCAGCTTCCAAGTTAGTCTTCCTACTCATATTTCTTGTTCCTAGTTCCATCTTCTAGCCTGTAGGCAGAATAATAAATGTAAAACACAAAAATGTAACATTGTTTAGAGGCTTCCTACTGTAACAGAACAAAATCATCAACCTTCCCTTAGTACCCTTTCAGAAACAGTAATCTGCATTCCTCTGCCTCTGTTTATTCACTCACATTGTATTATTAGGAGCATGCTTAATGTGTGGACCCCAAGTTACTCGCTTCATACAAATCATCTTGTATAATCATGAGACTAGTGCTGTCCTCTAGAGCTCCATGTTGCAGAAGACCAAAGAATGGCCCAGAGAGACTGTGGAACTCACCCACAAACAAATAGCTCCTTGGCCACAGAACTGAATCCACTGCCTGGCAAGTTCTAATTCAGGTCTCTGTGTTAAGCCATTGTCTGCTTCCAGAGGAGCTGGGGGAGGGCCAGTAGCAGAGGGAGGGGGAACCAAAGGCTGGAGGAAGTACAACCTGAAAGACGGATGTAATCTTTTCTTTCCCAAGTTGGCCAGGGACTACCAGGACTTGAAGCCAGCGCTCTGAACCCCCCCCCCCCCCCTCCGCTTCAAGCACTCTTCCCAGGAGACCCAAATCAGCAATTGTCTGCTTCCTTGGAGCTCTATTTCATTCCTTTTCCAGGTATCTGGGATGTGATTACTACTTCTGGTAGTAGCACCTCTTCTCTGGGATATGAAGAATTGAAGCAGCCTGGCGCCTGCTTGCTTCCAGGCCTCTTAGAGATGTTTGTGGTCTTTCGGAAGTGGCCTCTGGGTAATCAGATATGGTCTGCCTGCCAGGCTGCTTCTTGAACAAGATGTTTCCTCCTGACTTCTTCAGTAGCCTTGCACTAACCCCAGTGGAAGGAAGGCTGTCTTTACCATTTCAGCGGAGGCCTGTCTGCCTGAATACCTGCAGAGAAAATTTCCTGGTCGCAGGATTTCAGGACATCGCCCCCCCCCCCCCAAAAAAAAAGAGAAAGTTTGAGGTTGCTGTGTACAGGTCACGTTTGATATTGAGAGATTTTTATTAAACTCTAAATTTTATGTGTCTAAATGTGTGTGTTCTACATAAATATTTGAGTTTTCTCCTGATCAGGATTCCTCTGTGGAGCCAGGACATGCACCCTTGCAGGAGCGTTTTCATCAGACCACATTGAATCCAATACTTCGGGACAGGCAGAGGGGGTGGAGACAGCATTTGGGTTTCCTTGCCTGCCGCATTGCTCCGCCCCCAGGCTTGCTCTTTGTAGGGGGACCACAAGAGTCCCTGATTTACAGGAGTCCTAAGCCTGCACCTTTAACCTTGAGCCTGCTCGCTGGCGACCTCCAGAGGGCCAGGATGGTTTGGGACCGCTGTGAACGAGGACGCTTCTAGTTTTAATGACTCTATTTGCATAACGGAGACCGAGCTTCCTCCCGCCCGTCTGCAGTGCCTTTCTTCCCTCTTTCTCTTATCAACTGCACCAACCTCCCCCAGTCCCTCACTGCTCCACTCTGGTCCCCTTCTCAGGTGACTTACTCGGAGCTTGAGTCCCAGGCTCGTCTTCCCCGGCCCGGTGAGATCCGGAGGCACCTGGGGGTGTGGAGTCCAGGACCAAGCCGGCCTGGGGAGCCGCCCTGGCACTGCCAGACCCTAACAAAGGGAATAGGGTTGCCGGCCCGCGCGAGCGCGCGGTGGGCACAGCGGCCGCCGCCTTCCCGGCAGAGAGCGCTGCGAGTGAGTAGGGGCGAGGCGGGAGGCACCGGCCGGGAGGAGGGGTGCGCTGAGGGACAGCCTCAGCTGCCTGGGCAAGAGCCGCCTCCGTGGGCTGGGGGTGTCTGTCTCTGGCTCAGGGGAGGGGTACCCTGGCCTCCCGCGGCTCGCTATTCTGCGCTCCCACAACAAATGCACGTGTGCGGGGCCGCAGAAGCCTGCGCCGCAGCGTCTGTATTGTGTAAGGCGTTGCCTTGCGGAAGAAGGGTCGCTTTCGCTCTTGTCTGTTGGGGTAACATCAGGAAATTGAGCCTGGTGGAGGAGAGGGTGAGCATACACCACAACAAACGCACATGTGCCCTGCTGGGAGTCTGGGGGTGCAGCTAGCCCAGCTGAACAGCTCTGCTGAGCCGCCTGTGAGCAGGTTATTGTCCCAGCCAAACCGATGGGTGCGGCGGTGCTTGGAGGCGACACAAAACTGCTGGAGGGCGAGAGACGTTTCGAAAAGGTGTCCTGAAGGGATCGGACTAAGCCTGTAGATTTTAAAAGGAAAAAGCAAACAAGAGCCTATAAAAAGCCCCCCTCCCCAGGTTGTGTGCTCTACCCCTTGGCACGTGCTTTGAGGTGACAAGCCCTCACTTCTACCCCGAGGTTTCCTAGAGCTGTAGGTTGAACCAAGAGTCTGTAGTTATTATTTAAAATAGACTCTGCTGGACACACCATTGTCCCCGTGCTCTGGCAGCCGCCTCTGTTGGGGAATCTCGAGCGCCTCCCTAGCTTACCGAAAGAATAGTCTGATTTAAACCAAACCCACCAGTAAGGTCTTGGGTTTCGCTTGCACTTCGCCTCCGAGGTCCCTGTGCCTAGACTCTCCAGGTGTCACTGGCTCCTCCTTCTCTTCACACAAGGCCACCCATGTCCTCTGGTATCTGAAGCTCGCAGAGGTAGGTCTGTTTTTTGCGCGCTTTCTTTCGCTTTACTTTCACTCTGCTCACGCAGCCCGCTTATACTTTTTGAGGTCTAGGCTTGGCAGCCCTGAGGATGGGTTCGGTCGTGTGTGTGTGTATCCCAGGCGACCTGTACAGGAATGACATGACAGCACCCTACCTAACTGATGCTTCACCTCGGATAGTTCCTCTAGAGACTAACCTGTCAATGAGGAGAACTGGACAGCCTCCAGCCATGTACCGTCATTACCGAAAGGGTCCGTACGCAGCTAGGGAACCTTGTATTTTTTACAGGCAGGAAGCTGAGGTCTGAAAGTTCAGCGGCTTGAGTGTGGGTCTTTCAGCTGCTCTGCCTGCAGTCACAGGATTCTGCGGTTGGCTTAAAAGGCAGTAGCCTTAGGCAGAGCAGTTGGGAGTTAAACAAAGAAAATAATTCAAATTGGAAACTGCACCCTTCCATTATGCGTTTCAAGAGTTCTCTGTTCAGTGGAGAAGAGAAGATTTAGAAATTCCCCAATCCTCAGCCTATCCTGCTCCCACAACTTTGTTTTGCTCTCCTGGCTGCCCCCTTGTTCTCAGATTGAATTAGAGCCAACTATAGAGACTTAGATGTTTTGCCTCACATCCCGGCGCTAAGAGGCCTTTGTTTGAGCAGAAGCAGGGGCTGTTGACATCAGCCCCATTGGGAGGAAAGTGCCTCTTGTAACCTGCTGCTCCTGAGCCTCTTGCTGGAGAACAAAGCATTGTTTTCATTGATTTTATTTAATTAATTTTTCTATTATTTATGAGTTCTATGGTAGTAACTGCTTTTTGGGTTTGGCAGAGGAAAACAGAGGCAAAGGAAGGAACAGTGAGGTTAGGTTCCCCAAAACTAGCTGTGGTCTGTGGCCTCTGCCTCCACCCCTCACCTCCTACAGGTGTGTTTACCTTCCTCTTGGTTTCCAGCTTGTTTAACTTTGTAATGTCAATGCTCAACTTAGTGATAAGGTCGTTTATTCTGGGGGCCACTTTGAGTGACCATGGCCCAGGGAAATGCAAATTTAGGTGACCCCAAATTCCATGTTCCAACTTGGAAGCAGTTACATGAAGACTTTCAAGTTTTGCAGGACAGAGGAAGTTATAAATTAAGGCGAAGTTATAAATTAAGGCAAGTTTAAAATATGTTGGTAGGTACATAAGAGAGGCAGGTATATAGAAATGCTACATAGAAATGCTGGAAGCTTTTCTGTAGGCTCAAGATGCTATCTGATGGCATTCCTAGCTTTTAGATTGGTAGACATTTGCTTCCTGCTAAGTTAATAGAGTCTTAAAGGCTTTTTATCTTGTGCCACAAGATGTTAATTCCTGCATGGGGGTGAGGGTGGGGCAAAGCATGGGCAGCATGGGGGTGAGGTTTTGAGGAACGGCTGTCCTTGAGGGCCAGACTTAGCCCAGAATAACATAATTAGCCTTTGGACCTGCAAAGTTCCAGTATCCACAGCACTGAAATTCTAATCAGCCAATTGGTCTCTGAAGATACAGATTCCTTTCATGTCTCCTCAGGATGCTACTGTAATGAACTTGAGGCTCCTCAAGCCTTTGTTTCTCACATGGGAAAAGTTAAGGACTGGAGAAGGGAAATTACTTGTGACAGAAACACTGTCAACCAACTTTTAGTGTCTCTTTTTGCTTCAAAGGGAAGGTGTTGCATCAAACAAACTGTTGTTGGTACCCCAGGGTAAAACCAAAGTTATTATGGTTGCTATAACAACACTCTTTAAAGTAAGACAATGAGTTCCTTAAGGATTTAAATAGGTTTGGCTGTTAGGCGGAGGAATGGATGCTGATCACAGGTGTGGTGTAGAGTATTGCAGTTAACATTGAGAATCAGTTTTCTTTGGCTTGCTGAGTGGTTTACTTTGCTCTTGTCCTGGGGAGCTGCTTTGTAGATACTTGCAAAGCAAAGGACACTTGGAATTCAGAAGACAAGAGAGTCCTTAGCTATTCACTGTATTTAACTTTCTGGGCTCCCCCTTTTTTTTTTTGCCTGGTGGATCTACCAGTGTCTTCCCTGGCTCTTCTGGGAAGTAGATGCTGCTGGAGGCCTTAGAGTCTGAGGAGGTCATTGCTCATACCTGGCATTGGCATCAGTGTGTGACTTTTGTGGATGAGAACTTGATTAGGAAAACATGATTTTTTTTGCATATTTACGGAAGTAATTTCTTTTGTTGTTTATTTTTATACTCCCCGACCAAAGTTTCTCTTCCTCCCTTCTCAGTTCCTCCCCTTCACCCCTGCCCTATCCAGTCCTTCCATTTCTATTCAGAAAAGGGCAGGTCTCTCATGAATATCAACCAGACATGGCCTATCAAGTTGCAGTGAGACTAAGTACTTCCCCTTGTATTAAGGCTGGGCAAGGCAGCCCAGGAGAGGGGTAGGGGGCCCAAAAGCCAGCCAAAGAGTCACAGACAGCCCTTGTTCCCACTTTAGGAGTCCCATAGGAGGACCAAGCTACACAGCTGTCACATATATGCAGGCTCCCTGGTTGTCAGTTCCTTTGAGTCCAGGTTAGTTGATTCTGTGTAATGTCCTCGACCCCTCTGGTTCCTCCAATCCTCCCTCTCCCTCTTCCACAGGATTCCAAGAGCTCCCCCCTAATGTTTGGCTGTATGTCTCTGTATGTTTCCATTAATTGCTGGATGAAGGCTCTCTGATTACTGCTGGGCTAGGCACCAATCTATGATTATAGCAGAATGTCATTAGGAATCATTTCATTGGCTTTTTTCCCCCAATCATATTTAGTTCTATCCTAGGTCTCTGGATCCTGGCCCTTGTAGATTGTTGGGAGTTTCCATTGTTCTATGTTTCTACTTTGTCCCAGAGAGGCCCCTAGATTCCAGTTGTCTTTCTCAGTACTCTCTCCCTCTATCTTAATCCCATCTGACCTCTCCTGTTTCTATCCCCTTCCTAGCCTTCTGGGGAAACATGGTTTTTTTTTTATTTTTAATTTTGATTTTTGATTTTTGTTTTGCTTGTCTGCATGCATTCTCACTTCATGATAGCCCTCTGACTCCCATGGATGTGTCTTTATGAGCTCATTTGCAACACTAACAAACATATCATGCAATGTTGTTGTCCTATATTAAAATACTAGGGATGATCTTTCGTAGGTCATTACTAGAAAGGTCATGTCAGCTTTCTGAATCACAGTGTTCTGGTGATTAAAATAAAACATTCACATTGAAGACTATACCAAAAAAAATATTTAGAAACAGAAAAAAAAAATTCCACTATCCCAAACAGCCATGTGCTATCTGGCAATTTTGCTTCTGGATTTGATAAACAAAACAACAAATCAAACAAACAAACAAACAAAAAAAAAACAAAAAACAAAAAAAACAAAAAACTTGACTTTTTTTTGGAAATAATTGATCATAATTGTATGTATAGTTATGGTTCTTGTATCTCATGGTTTATATTAAAGTTTTGATGATAATCACTGATGCCTAGTGCCTTCAAGTTCCCACAGCCCCATGAGGCCTGATCACTGTAGTGTTTGTTCCAGTGAGGGCAATGCCAAGGAAGGGGCCTCCACCTCCCTCTCCTATCCCATCCCTGCCTCTTTTTCAAGCATTAGCCACAGTTTTTCTTTGAGAAATCCAGAAGCACTGGCAATACAGCAAAAGGAGAAGGACCCTGTGCATGGCCTTGAGCAAAGTTTCTGTAAATGCTCAGTGAACAACTCAAGGGTTATTTATTACTTCATTTGACATAGTGAATAAAAGCCTCATGGTCTAAAGGAGGAGACATGGGAGACAGGGATTAATGCCAGATGGTGCAGATCACAGAGGTGACAACCTGTCATGCCTGGGGCATGTCCATGGAGGCCACTCCTGCAAAGTCATTTTTACCTGTTTCAATTGATGTTCTGATTAACATGCTAACAGATTAATTCCAGTTGACTTTCTTGAACTTCCACAGGATAGAGCCTGGATGTTGGGATTATTGGGTCACACTGTAAAAGGCATAGCTGTTGAAGAAACTTTGGTGACATAGTCTAATTACACACAAAATCTTCAGGCGAGAGAGTAGTAAATC